ACACGCATGCATACTATTTATTGTCAAACTTTTGTTCTTGACGTCTGTTGTCAAATTGAGAATAGATTAAATATTGTTTGTCTTTGTTAATATTTTTTATAGTGTAGTCTTGGCGAAATTTGTGATTATAGAAGTATAAAATACAATTGTAATAGTGTACAAACTGACAATTCCTATTAGTTATAGTCGAATTTCGAGTACTGCGGGACCTCTAGTTTATAATTATTATATCTTCGACTCACGAAAATCAACTACTAGTGAATGCGGTGTTTTTTTAAACACCGTCTATAGATCAGTTCATGGCCCGTCTGATTCGAAGTGAACACCGGAACTCAGGAACTACAGGAAAAATCTGTCGCTTATCATCTCCCAATTAAATTAATCTTAAGCAAGCAATGAATGAAATGTAATCAAATCTTAGCTGTATATTTTTTTTTATTTTTGATGTTAATGCACTCTCGATTGCACCTATAATTGAGGTGACATCTGCCATGAACTTTTGTCAATTTGTCAATGTTTTGTATTGATGATCACTTTGTTGGTGCAACTTAATAAATAAATAAATAAACTCATAGGCGCAGTAGCGTGTGGTTTTTCGTATGCCGATAGCCTTGAAAGGCTATATCAGCGTTACCCTAACATGTAGGTGAGCTCTCGAGGCTCAAAGCGGAGGTGTTACTAACACTGGTCCTAGCAAGAGCAGTGCATTGCAGAATCGACCGCCGGATCGGAAACGCAGTTGCGTGTACGACATCGCGATAAGGCCGAAAACTTCCTTCGTGCCTAAACTGCATGGGACGGGAGGGGCGACTGCGGGATGAGGGGAGGACGCGAAGTATGACCAACCATTGAAATGATTCATAATGCGATTTGTATTACTTATTATATTACGAGCGAGTCGAGTCGAACGAGCAGTTGAGTAAAACAATAGTAAATTATTACTTTGACAATAATTATAAGCTTTTTTTATGAATGAGGGATTACTGTTGGCACGATCGCCTTTCCAGTTTCACCAGGACAGGTGGGCAAGCAAGGGCTCAGCCAGGAGGTATTTTTAAGCTGTCAATAAACGTGGGAGATTCAAATATGCTGTATCATTGAGTTAAACAATTTTTTTTCCTCTCTAAGCTGAGAGCCTTGAGAGGCTATATCAGCGTAATCTCAACTAGTAGGTGAGCTCACGGGGTTCAAACCTGACCTCGTTGCTAACACGAACCCTAGCAAGGGCCGTACTTCGCAGAATCTACCACCGGATTGGAAACGCGACCCACTGAGAAGATCCGCCGAGAAACACAGTGGGCTGTGTCTGAGAGTGTTAAACAAATTATCGTAAGAGTGTATTTATATCAGTGTCCTGTATTGTTTATTCGCAACTTGGGTTGCGTTTCTGAGTCGCTGGTAGATTCTGCGCAGCGCTGCTCTTGCTAGGGCTAGTGTTAGCAACGTCGTCAGGTCAGAGCCTATGAGCTCACCTAGACATTCGGTGAATCTAGTATGATCCCTCAAGGTTACTAGAATAGGTAGGATACGATTACACCAAAACAGAGACAGTTAGCTATATAATTGAAAGTTCAGTTAGCTTAGAACGAACAGTAAAATTTCCTTAATAAGCAATTATTATATGGCAATCAATTATATGCAATTCCATGCAAGCCTTTTATCGCAATTTCTATTATTAAAAACAAGGTTTATGAAGTCTTGCGCGGATCTAGCGTGCCCATGACTTTCGACAAGGGTCTCGAAATTTTTGTTATAACTACATATAACATTACGAAACAGCCATAAAATCGGATAATATAATTTCTTGGTAAATAAATTCACTTAGTAGGACTTCCTGTGTGGCCGCAAGGGTAGGTATAAGCATCCTACCTAGTTGTAGCGAAGAGCAGTTGCAGGCTCCGACTTGAAGGATAACATAGTTTTTTTTTTTTTTTAAAAAGTATTACTTGTGGTCGGTAGTTTTTTTAATTTCAGCAAGACTGCCAGACAGGAGGGACGAAGGCTTGCTAACAGCAGCCCAAGCACCTCCGAAAAAGACTTAACAACTCAAAAGGCAGCTGCTTCAAGAATACATCTACTACCGGATCAGAATCGCGACTCGCTGAGAAGATGCGGCGAGAAACTCTCAGCATGCTGATAGGTATTGGTTAGGAGGCTGATAGGTATTGGTTAGATTTCACGTAGAACTATTTGATGAGTTCGACGTAAGTGGTTACTGGAGCTCATAGACATCTACAACGTAAATGCGCCACCCGCCTTGAGATATAAGTTCTAAGATCTCAGTATAGCTACGACGGCTGCCCCACCCTCCAAACCGAAACGCATTGTTGCTTCACGGCAGAAATAGGCATGGTAGTGGTACTTACCTGTGCGGACTCGCAAGAGGTCCTACCACCAATAATAAATCTACTACCGGATCGGAATCGTGATCCACTGAGAAGATGCGGCGAGAAACTCAGCTCAGCAGAAACTCAGGCTGATAGGTATTGGTTAGATTTCACGTAAAATTAATTGATGGGTTTGACGAGTTACGGCTGCAACAATACCAGTAAGATTTTAAATTCACATATTAAGACGGCATACAAGTTGTGAAATGTATAGGATCAAACAAATATTTAGCACCATCTTCTTCTCTCCACCTTATTTCGGGGTCGGCACAGCTAATTTTTCTCTTCCATTCTGTTCTATCAGCCGTCATCTCAACAATCACTCCTCTCTTTCTCATATCGTCATTCACACACTCCATCCATGTCTTCTTTGGTCGACCTCAAAAGAGATGTGAGCACGAAGCACTTTAGAAGCTCTGTGGCATCCGTCTATGACATTCAGGACACAAAAATCATACCGATAAAAATTAGTAACATACACAGTGTAAGGGAATCGTAATCATTTACTTATCAATGAATACTTATCCTTTATCAAATTTATACATCCTGAACCCACTTTGGGAAGGCAGCTGGCGAACGAGCAAATATAAATGTCTCGTAAAACTCAACGTGTATATTTTATGACAGTCTGTTAAATTATTTAATATTAAGAAATTCAACGCTATGTAATGCTATCTGCTATCTAAAGTATTCATTTAAACACAATAAACTTGGAAGATTCAAATATCCTGTATTGTTTATTCGCAACTTGAGTCGCGTTTCCGATCCTTTTTTTTTGTTTTGTTTATTGCTTAGATGAGTGGACGAGCTCACAGCCCACCTGGTGTTAAGTGGTTACTGGAGCCCATAGACATCTACGACGTAAATGCGCCACCCACCTTGAGATATAAGTTCTAAGATCTCAGTATAGTTACAACGGCTGCCCCACCCTTCAAACCGAAACGCATTACTGCTTCACGGCAGAAATAGGCAGGGTGGTGGTACCTACCCGCGCGGACTCACAAGAGGTCCTACCACCAGTAAAAATCCGGTGGTATATTCTGCGGAGCACTGCTCTTGCTAGGGCTAGTGTTAGCAATGTCATCTGGTTAGCTCACCTACTCGCCCGGTGAATCTAGTATGACCCCTCGAGGTCACTAGAATAAGTAGGAAAAAAAACACAAAAACACAGTACAGGTAACCTGGTAACTATAACAGGGTAGCTACGTTCCTACAAAGTCCCATCTTATGCAAAGCCCTGTTAGATTAGACTTGTACAAAAAGGAGAGTGCCTGCCTATTTCTGCCGTGAAGCAGTAATGCGTTTCGGTTTGAAGGGTGGGGCAGCCGTTGTAACTATACTTGAGACCTTAGAACTTATATCTGAAGGTGGGTGGCGCATTTACGTTGTAGATGTCTATGGGCTTCAGTAACCACTTAACACCAGGTGGGCTGTGAGCTCGTCCACCCATCTAAGCAATAAAAAAGATGTGTGGTGTCGTGGGACACAGGACAGGAACGAAGTTCCTTATTATAAAAATATTAATTTTGAGTTATATTTGAGGTATAAAGAAAATAAAACTGGAAGTTTTGCAACAACACACGGTCATTCGGTAACGTGTGAACTTATTGTGGTACACTTCATTCACGGTTGTTTGCATATGAGTTAGTGTATTGCGTAAACGGACGCTCTGAGATCGTGGTCAATGAATGATAAAAAAAATTGTTATTTTTTGTACGTTATTACAAAGCTAAGTCGTACAATGTGTGCATTACTAATTTGTACGTTATTACAAAGTTAAGTCGTACACTGTGTGCATTACTAATAAAAATCTTACGTTACGGACGTATTTTTCCCGGTTAGGGTACCCCTCTGCATCGTCCCATAAAGAACTTCGTTCCAAAAATAAATAAATGAAAAACTAGTTTTCCGAATGAAACATCTCAACTAGGCATGTATGTATTTTTTATCTATTTGTTATACATAAAAAATAAGCTGTAAATTTTCGATAGCCCCTATACATTGTGTGTTCACAGTGCATAATATATTTTTCTAAATAATTTTAAACCAAAATCTCGTTATAGGATTTTAAAAATACCGTGTTACTCTATTATAATAGAGTGTTGAAGAATTTTTCTTTTCGTGTTAAAGTTGAACTGTGTGGAATAATAAGGAGGATTATTTGTATTTATTGTCTATGTCAAACACCAACAAGTCAAGTCAATTTTTTTTTCTTAAATATAAAGACATAAAAGATAGACTGATTTGTTTTGACAGTTTCCCAGGAAAACTGACAAAGTGCGGGCGAGCCCCGTCACAAACTTGAAGCCCTTCGCTTGTGAACCATGCATGATACTGTTAATTTCCTCGTTGGGTTTGCAATTTGTTCGGGTTCGATTCTCGACTCAGTATCTTTGTTAGTTATTTCATATTCGAAGTCTGGATACATTATTTCTTATCCATATATTAGCTGTAAAAATAAATGACGAATGCGTCTTTCGAGATACTTTTCATTCGCAATAGTTAAAACATTAACTTTTTTTGATTATGGCCTTTCTTGGAAATAAAAAAATATATTGACAACATTTGACAGTCGTTAAGTAAAATCAAAATAAATTGAATCAGTAATGTAAAATGAACGAACTTCTCCAAAAACATGGTTGTTCCAATGTGTTTGCGCTTCCCGAAGGACTCAAAGAACTCATGTCTGATATCACGAGAGAGGTGAGGCCTATTTTCTCGATATGTAAATGTATTATCTATGGGCCCCGGTATGCAATTAACACTAAGTGGGTCATGGACTCGTGCGTGTCTATTTAGAGCAAATAATATAAAATTAAATATATACATAGATACTTGGTAGGTACTTTACTACGCCTAAATAATCCGGCGTCCCGAGGGGGAGGGTGATGGGAGAGATGAGCACGCTTCACTTTCCCCCTTTTGCCCTTTCATGAGTTCTATCTCATGCGAGGCTTCGACGTGGGTTGTTGAGCGACAGAAGGCTTTAGTCGGTTCGACTCCGACATGCCCCACCCTCCATCCCCAGTGCAGGCGAAAATCCAGCGATTTCCTCCTGACCATAAACAAAAAGGCCTAAAATAAAACTTACTAGTGTAACCAAATAAAAAGGAGTATAGTATTTTTTAGCTTGGCTTGGCTTCGTTAAGCAAGAATTAAAACTAACTTGTAGTTTTATTTGTGGAAGCCGAAAAACAATTCAATATAATTCTACCATAAACAGGTGCTCCGGACTCAACCTCCGAATATATGCGATTTTATAGCAAAATATTTATCGGTATTGCTGATTACCAGAGAACATGGTATCCTAGCAGTAAAGATACTAGAAGACTTATGCGACTGTAGGCCCTCAGTATCGGAGCATCTCCTCCAATTGGGTATAGAGAAAAGTGACGCAGAAGTACTGGCCCAAGTTATCAAAGCCGAGGTGGAAGGTTTCGAGCCTATGGAGGGAAAAGGTTTGGTCATTTCGGCAATCTGCTGTCACTAAGCTCCCTACTAACGTACATTGAATTCCACGGGGAAGGAATAATGTTGTGTAATAAAAAGCAAAACCCGCAAAGTTATACTCCGCACGGGACGGTACCACCACCCTGCCTGTTTCTGCCGGGAAGCAGTAATGCGTTTCGGTTTGAAGGGTGGGGAAGCCGTTGTAATTATACTTGAGACCTTAGAACTTATATCTCAAGGTGGGTGGTACATTTACGTTGTAGATGTCTAAGGGCTTCAGTAACCACTTCACACCAGGTGGGCTGTGCGTTCGTCCACCTACCTAAGCAATAAAAAAAATCTACTCGGCCATACTCATCGCGATAATACAAATATTCACTGTAGATAATGTAGCATTAGGGTTACACTGAAATGGCCCTCTAAGGGCCATCAGTTTAGGTAGGAAGGTTATAGCGATAAGTGAAAAAAAACCGGACACCTTAGAACTCATATCTCAAGGTAGGTGGCCGCATTTATGTTGTAGATGTCTATGGGCTCCGGTCAACACTTAAGACCAGGTGGGTGAGCTTCGTCCACCCATCTAAGCAATAAAATAAATGTATGTTATGCTTGTTGATACATTTTGTTTTATGTCCTAATTTTCTATTTCTTCATGGCTCATTTGGCTTTAGTTGTTTACCGAATCAAATGTATCCCATAACCGATATACCATCTGGACAAAGGCTCAAATCTTTCCGCTCTGTCTTTGAGATTAGTGTTTCTATCATTTCTTTTGCAAAAATAAAACCCATACCCTTTTGTATTTAATTCTTAACGTATATAATTTATAGTATAAAATTAAACATAAAACGCTTCTTTTAGGAACATTAAAAGAAACTGAAATCATTAAAAAAATTCTGAAAAGGATGCCTTTAGATGAGGAAATGACAGCTAAAGTTTGTCAAGTGGCTAGAAACGCTTACAGAGACTACTGGTACAAGAAAACGCTGATGGAGAAGGTACAATAGCTTTGGACACAACCATTCACATCGATGTAGAAGATCAACTATTATCTATATCTTAATACGTGAAGTAAAAACTTTGTACCTACCCCTTTTTACGAAAATTGGCGCGGACGGTGAATATAGAGAAAGAGTGCAGAATGTTAATATTTTTTTTAATGATCCATAAAAAAATCATTAAATCGTAGATTAAATCAATAAAGAAAACATTACACACACCATCATGTATTTGACACACACACGCTTGCATACTATTTATTGTCAAACTTTTCTTAATATTTATAGTCTGTGTCAAATTAAGAATAAATTAAATATTGTTTGTCTTAATTAATATGTATCTAACGTGTAGTTTTGGCGAAATCTGTGATTATAGAAGTTGACAATAAAACCATAATAACGTACAAACTTATAATTTTAATTAATTATAGTTGAATTTCGACTGCTGGGGGCCACTTGTATCCCTAAAATAATAGTAAAAAAATATTCCATTATATGATTTAGGAGCTAAAACCGCATCCAGAAGAGCCCTGGGAGCTCGCGGCCCAACACACGATAGAACTGTACAGTAAAACGAAGCCATCTTTTGAGGAACTAACGAGAGCCACTCAGAAAATACAGGTCATCTTTTAAATTGCTATTTTATTCTTAATATTTGTACTGTTATTTCTGACGATTTCAAAACTGTATCTCGTGTTAATTAATTTCAATAAATTACTGATTCTTCAATTGAGTGCACCGAAAACTCGACTGCACCCCCATTGAGACTCTTTTACCAGAGCACAACAGAACCTCCCATCGCGTAGAGTATAGAAGGAAAAAGGAATTAGAGGGAGATTATTATATTAAACTAGAGATGGCTATAGTGGTGAGAGATTTTAGTAGCTTACTTACTGGTGGTGACTCTTGTGAGTCCGCAGGTAGGTACCACCACCCTGCCTATTTCTGCCGTGAAGCCGTAATGCGTTTCGGTTTGAAGGGTGGGGCAGCCGTTGTAACTATACTTGAGACCTTAGAACTTATATCTCAAGGTGGGTAGCGCATTTACGTTGTAGATGTCTATGGGCTCCAGTAACCACTTAACACCAGGTGGGCTGTGAGCTCGTCCACCAACCTCAGCTATAAAAATAAAATAAAAATAAAAGTTTAGATTTTATTACCATGGATCTATGGGCTTAATTCTTTTTAGGCAGCATATAGAGGATATCACGTACGCAGAAATTTGCTCCATCATCTCAAGCCGAAGAAGAAGACTGAATCAAAAGTAGATTTACCTGGACCCCCTCTAGACATTGACGGCTCTAGAGATATCGATTTAGGACCCATCATTGTGAGTACTTTTTTAGCTTTGGCCTAATGTTCGTAAGGGATAGATTCTATGGTTTATACCTTACAAAACCTTAGTCATAACAGGCTTTTTCAAAACTTTTTAAATATGAGTTGAATATGGAATGAATTGAAAAACAGATAATAGTATACAAAGATTATAATAAATACAAAGAAATAAAGTATAAAGATAAATAAGTAAATAAAGAAGTACAGAGAGAAATAAGTATAAAGATTATATTAATATACAGTTAGTTTCAAACGTTGACGTCATTGTACACAATTGTCGACTATGTGTCTAGGATTTTAACTAACTCTGACGATATTTCTAAACCCATTTTGTTTTCGATTTCATGATTGACTATGTTCAAAATATTGTAAGTTTTTTTAATGAAAATTAAATAGTAAAAAACTGTCAGGCACACTTGTATTGTCGACTACACTATCGGACGACAAATGGCCACCTCTATATACCTATACATATAGACTAGCGACCCGCCCTCGCTTCGCTTCGGAAACTGTAATTTATTATTGATTTCTCTACTATTTAATGGATGTTATTATACATATAAACATTCCTCTTCAATCACTCTATCTAATAAAAAAACCGCATCAAAATCCGTTGCGTAGTTTTAAAGATTTAAGCATACTTAGGGATATTGGGACAGAGAAAGCGACTTTGTTTTATATTATGTAGTGACAATAGGAACATCAGGGATAGAGATAACTTGCAGAGAGAAAATGAACAATTGTAAGTAACGTGATGGTGAAATTAGTTTATAAATCCTATTATTTTTTTTCAAGAATCTCAAAGTTCGTGACGACAATGTCAAGGCAATGTTTGAAACAGAAAATGAAAATTTAATCGTAAATTGTGATTCTATAAAAGCAATAACTCACGTCGAAGATGATGGACTATTTCCGGGAATTCCTTCCCAAGCGATCCGACCGAGAAAGGTCTTTACTCTACAGGAAAATTTGATTGAAGACCCAGCGAAATCGGATGTAAAAGTCACGGAAACAGAATCTACAGATTTACAGCGTGAGTTGTTTCTTTCTTTCGTATTCAAGACAAAAATTCGGTACTTACGTACTGATGACTCAAGATGGTTGTATAAATATGAGTTCTAAAGTCTAAGTTTCAGTTTTACAACGGCTGCTCCATCCGTCAAATCGAAACGCATTACTGCTTCTCGGTAAAAATAGACAGGGCGGTGGTACCTACCCGTGCGGACTCTCAAAACGTCCTGTTACCAGTAATTACGCAAATTATAATTTTGTGGGTTTGATTTTTATTACACAATGTTATTCCTTCACCTTGGAAGTCAATCGTGAACATTTGTTAAGTACGTATTTCATTAGAAAAATTGGTACCTGACTGCGGGATTCGAACACCGATGCATCGCTAGATACGAAAACACCGGACGTCTTATCCTTTATGCCACGACGACTTCAACTGTACGTCTGAACTACATATGCCAATCATAACAAAGTTGTGTAAGAAAAAGAGGAGGAGAGTGACCTTCCAGAAATGGAAATATTGAGCATCTAACTCTTTTAATAAAGAACGAATCTAAAAGAGATCTTAAATGTTTATTTCAATGGTCACTATTCGGATTTTTCAACTTGCTTCACCCATAGCATGAGTCTTTCAACAAAATATCAGAAAGTTCAGTATTGACTACATATCATATACAATTTTATTTCAATCATATGTTCTGCGTAATGTATCCTATGTGCTGTCAGTCTGAAGTTTGTAAGCCCCCTATTTTAAAAAGCTTTCCAAAAGAGCAGTGTTTTTAAACATAAAATAATATTTACTATTCATTAGATGCAGTAGACAATGCCCAGCGCAGCATCTCTCTGCCAACCACTGACGCGGTGCATCATGATTTGCCAATGCGTAAAATCTCCTTTGCAGAGGTAAGACGTTTTTAATACGCTTTTATTAGTTTCGGACGTATGTATGTTAGTATGTAACGAAATCTTTGAACATGATTTTGACCCCCTTCAAAACGTCGGTTTAACTCGAAATTTGGTATACTTGTTAAGGACCGATGACAATTCAACATAAAAAAAATTTAAATAATTGAAAGTCAACTAAAAAATAAAAAATAAATAATAGTTTAAAAAAACTTAAAAAAAACTTTGAAAAATGATTTAAAAAATGATTTTATGGTAAAAAAAAGCGTGGGGTGCACGGCATCAGTACTTGTAAATATTTTATGAACCGATATGAGTAGAAGGGCTATTTTGATAATATCCTGAAAAGCACCCCACGGTTTTTTACAATACAATAATTTTTTCTTACACTATTTTTAATTCAAATTTATTTTCTATTTTTTAGTTGGATTTTCTATAAATGCGTGTTTTTTTTGTATTTTTAAACTATAATTTTTTTAATAATTGATTATAAAATTTGTGTGCTTATAGCAATTTAAAAATTTACTGAAGCAGAAAGTGTATTCGACTAATTATTGTTTTTTTGTCACGTTCTTAATTTCAACTGCCCTTCTGAGCCCCTTTTGCTTAAGCACTAGCAAGCATGCCTTAGGGGCTTTCATGCCAAAGCTAGGGTATCACGAGATAGGATCGCTACTCTACGTGAATAAGGCGCTTTGTCGTCAAGTTACCGAGACAAACACGACAATATGTTCTATAAAACTGCATCATCGAGGCAGTCGCCATAAAAACTGTGGATCGACACGGCATGCTCTCAATGTTGATGCGATGTAACTTGTTGGGTACATCTTAGCCAATATCTGATCAAATCGCGGGTGGGTTTGATAACGGCGCCGCGGCGGTTAGACAACGAGGAATATGATCAATGGTAACTAACTCTTCAACTTACATAACTTATACAAGATGGCACTTACATTTCTTTATCCATTTTGAATGGTTATGGAAATTTGAAACACAATTTTAAAAATACATGGCCGTAGGTTCCATCAGAAGTGGATCCTGCCGAACCAAAAGGCGAACTTGAAGGTTTAAATATACCGGAAGAAATTATTGAAGAGGATTCAGCAAATAGAACTGACACTGAAGAAAATATTCATGAAATACCCGAAGAAGTTCCAGGTTGGTATAGATTGCCTGTAGAAAAAACATATTATTGTCTCAATCCGTCAAGTCAAGTCCGCAGCGATCGAATCCTTTGATCGCCCTTATAATTATAATGCTTTGGAAGTCGTCGTGACCTAAAGGATAAGACGTCCGGTGCATTCGTATGTAGCGATGCGTCAATGTTCGAATCCCGCCGGCAGGTACCAAATTCCAATGAAATAGATGCATAACAAATGTTCACGATTCACTTCCACTGTGAAGGAATAACATCGTGTAATAAAAATCAAACCCGCCAAATGATAATATGCGTAATTACTGGTGGTAGGACCTCATGTGAGTACGCACGGGTAGGTAGCACAGTCCTACCTATTTCTGCCGTGAAGTAGTAATGCGTTTCGGTTTGAAGGGTGGGGCAGCCGTTGTAACTACACTTGAGACCTTAGAACTTAACTCGAGGTGGGTGGCGCATTTACGTCCTAGATGTCTATGGGCTCCAATAACCACTTAACATCAGGTGGGCTGTGAGCTCGTCCATCCATCTAAGCAATATTATATTAGTAATTCGTATCGGCTCTGATTAATCTTGGTTGGAGGGCATGTGTATCAATCAATAATTGTGCTGTTCGGGCAGACAGAAACATGATGTGACGAAATTAAAGGAATCTGCGTGATGGATGACGCCTTATGTTTCCAGATGATCGCACGGAAGGTGATGGCGACAGCGCTCCGACTGCTTCCATTCCATCATCGGCACCAGAGACGCCCAACGTCACTGATGCAGAAGACGTTGATGAGTTTACATCTGAAGAAGAGGGATAATGGAAACTCCGACATATTTAACTGCATTTTTTTTTTAATTCTAGCTTAATTGTGTTGGATTTTGTATTTAATAAAAAAAAAAGCATAAGATATGTGAGGTTTTGTGTGAAATTGAAAAGTCGAACAAAATTTGATGTTTTACTTTGATTTTTGATGCGCTAGATAAGATGACGAGCTCATCTGGAGTCGTGCTTACCGGAGCTAATGGACCGCTTACCTTGAGACATGAGGTTGGTTTTAATTTTATTGCAACTGCCGCACTGCTTCACGGCAGAATTGGCTCACAGCCCACCTGATGTTATGTGGTTATTGGAGCCCATAGATATCTACAACATAAATGCCTTGCGTAACCTACCTTGAGATGTGAGTACTAAGATCTCAGTTTTTATGAGATGTGAGTACTAAGATCTCAGTTTTTACAGAATAACGGCTGCCCCACCCTTCAAACCCAAACGCATTACTGTTAGATTTGATTTCATATTGTTATACAATGTTTTTTTTATTGCCCCTGTAGGCAGACGAGCATACGGCCCACCTGATGGTGAGTGGTTACCGGCGCCCATGACTTCAGCAATGCCAGGGGCAGAGCCAAGCCGCTGCCTACCGATATACAATGTTCTCTATTCATCACGGAAGCTATTCTTAAATCGTTATCCTTGCTAGCAAGATGTTAGTATCTGGTTAGTAAGCATTTGTTTATTGAGCGACATTGGTACATGTGGGCTATGTTTCCGACAGTCGCATTTGAGCCCGTACACTGAGAATCTTATTCAGGTGGTATAGTTCCTTGGTGGGAACAAAATCATTTGCCAACATTTGCCAACACTGTAAAGCCGTTCAAAGAAGCATAGCTGACAATAAGCAGGATATTCGACAGCAACCACCATTAACTATGCAAATCCATTACTGGTTGGGTTCATTAGATGTATTATCAGCCGACACAAGTAGGTACCACCACCCAGCCTGTTTCTGATGGGAAACTGTAATGTGTTCCAATTTCAAGGGCAAGCAAGTCTGCTATATAATTAAGACTTAGACCTCATGACTCAAAGTGGGTGGCGGCACCGCGGCTTTCACGTAGTGATCTATGGGCTCCGGTAGCCATTTTACACTGGGTGGGCCGTGAGCTCGTTTAACCATCAAAGCAATTAACAAATAAAATAAATGCAAATTTGGGGGGCCGGTTATCAAACATCCTCATCTTCACAAAAATTTTAACTATGTTCCTTTTTTTTATTCCTTAGATGGTTGGACGAGCTCACACCCACCTAGTGTTAAGTAGTAACTGGAGCCCATAGACATCTACAACTTAAATGCGCCACCCACCTTGAGATATAAATTCTAAGGTCTCAGTATAGTTACAACGGCTGCCCCCACTCTTCAAACCGAAACGCATTACTGCTTCACGGCAGAAATAGGCAGGGTCGTGGTACCTACCCGCGCGGACTCACAAGAAGTCCTTCCACCAGTAAAATCAATTCAAATCAAAACTCAGTATTACCTTCACTGCAGTATTTTCTATTGAGAAAAAGAAGAAGAAGAAAAGCAGTAAACTAAATCACCGTGTGTTCACGTAAGATATTTAGATAGGTACGTAAGATGATATTAAACAAGTAAATAGTAATAAATTTATTTCATACAAATCGTATTAATTAATAGTAGGATATTTCCATGATGATATAATATATTATACATTTTTGGTAAATTATATATTATTATTAAAAACTAAAGCTTAATCTACATACGTGTGGGATAAAACAGCGCATACGTTTTTTTTTTCTTAAATTAAATGCCATGATCTATAAGATATATTACAATAACATATGAAAATCAACAATAATGAAAATAACAAATCCACGAAAATCGATTTCCACTCATTCGAAAAATCGATTCCACAAACAAATTTATCGTAATTTTGTGTCGTCGGCAATCTATAATGCAATTTATTTTTTAAGAATAAATAAGTAATTTAATGCAATTAATATAATCGTCATTTCATCATGTCCTCAAGAACCAGTGGAAACCGACTCTCACACGCAACATACGACATTTAAAAAAAAAACTCCTTAACAAGAATTAATTATTTCTTAATACACGAATAATTATTATGAACGATGAATAATGTACAAGATCTAAAAATGTTAAACTAACAGCTTAAAATATTTGCAGCTTGGGATAGGATATCGAAAGGTAACTCCTAAATTGCTCTAATGATATTTAAAAAAAAACTTATAACTCATACCACTAAAGAAACGAACTAAAAATAGCAGCACTTAGGATTCTCTCTCGTTTGCACGATCACTCAAAAATATCTATATTCTTCATAGTTCCCTCAATTCTGAGGATCGCGATCACATGTGACATTCCTCTATAGCGTTCTATAATGGATGGCATGGAGCACATGGTATAGATTATCATAAAAAGCTCCCTAATCAGATCTGACCATGGCTGGTGTCTGCCCACAGCGTGCTTGCCTCCTATGCGACCCGAACTTATGAGCTTATCTAATTCATGAGACCGCATGATGTGTCCGAAGAAACTCATAACACGTTGCTGGCAGATGGCAGAGAGCCTTTTTTGGATCTTTAACTCTATTAAGCTGTACTGTAGACAAAAAAGTCAATTTACCAAAAATTAAAATTGTATAAGCATTATCAGCACGATTATTCTATTTAAAAACTGAAGAAGAAATAAATAAATAAATAAATGTCTTTTTCGTGAAATAATTTACATGAGATTAACTTTTCTATCTGAACACTATCTCTACTGATAGTCAGTTGGAGTATGTACTAGCTGCCATTTTTAATTCATTTGTTGTCACAATTTCTACAAATTCTATTATTATTTACAAATTCTAAAAAGAACAGTCAAATGGACAAGAACGCATTGAGAAAAAAACCTGCTCTCAAGAACATCCACTATATAACAAAAACTACCTCATAGTAAAAGAAACAGAATAATTAAAAATAATTTTATAATCTTGATAAAATTTCAAGGCTTATAAGATTTTACTGTGTTTCAAGTTAATGAAATCATTGCATTATTTACCATATTAGAACAAAACATCAAAGTGAACACTGACAGTTTAAAATGTCAAATGTCAATTTGAAAGAAGAAAAGATAAGAAAAAAAGAAGTGTATATGTAAAAGTTGCCTAAAAAAATAAAATGATCATTTGAGTCGTCTATTATCAAAGCTGGCAATCTGTGCATTTGGACAAAAAAAAAATATTGATATGTCAATACAGATTGATTTGAATATAATCGTCTTCTTCAATGAATACGGTTCAAAACCTGCATTAAATAAAGGTTAATAGTTAACCTGTTATTTATCTAAGATGTCGTTCAGAAGAGTTTTGTGACTGCCAATGGAAAACAAAGTCAATAATTCGTTTTTCTGATTTACCAATAATTGTCCAAAAGTCACATTGCCGGCTTTGATAATAGTCGACTCATTTATGTAAATATTGAAAACGTCAAAATGTCAAACGTGTTTTTTTTACATTTACGAAACATTACAAATATCATAAACTATAACACGCTATCTAAAAATACGTATAAAATCATATTGGTCTTCAAACGTAATAATTATCTTTAGGGTTTAATTCATTAATTTTAAATATAGTACTTTTGCTAGGTACATGACACGGTCATTAGATTAATGAACATTGAACATTTAAAATTGTAATTGCCCAGAAGCAACATCAGAATTACATTTCTGTGCCAAATGGTTTATGGTGTTTATGAAACCTATTTTTATAGTCATGGCTGTTGCAATTTTATATCCAACGTTCTTTAAGCTAGCGACTAATGTAGACCAAAGCTTCGAAGCCCACACATTGACTTCATCAATTAACTTAATTTCATATTACAAAATTAATAAAAATAGATTATCCTTAATAGAAAGAAATCACAGGTAATTTTATGCGTAAAATTAAATTAAAAATGTAAATAGGAGCCCTTTCTTATGTTTTTTTTTTAATAAAATTAAACATTATACAAATAGCAATTAACATTTATAGAATTGTTCAAAGGTAATAATAATTAATAAATAAAGTAAATTATATTTACAAAACTATAATCTTTTTTTACTTATAATGTGTCTATCTATCTCTGTGTTCAGACTATGGTGCCAATTTAGATTACTTCCACATTGCCTTTTTTTTTATTGCCCTTGTATGCAGACGAGCATACGGCCCACCTGATGGTGAGTGGTTACCGTCGCCCATGGACTTCAGCAATGCCAGGGGCAGAGCTAAGCCGCTGCCTACCGCAAATTGCCTTGGATAGGAATCTCATGAAATCCTTTGGTAAACGAAAAGGTTTAACACCCTGAACTGGGAACCTTTTGTTTTAAATGAAGTTGGTTCAAAACCTACCTAAAAGTCACACATTCAAATGAGTTAATTTTTTTATTAGATTATATTCGAGGAATGTCGAAAATATGACTACCGAATAAAATATTGAAAAATATTAATGCTGACGTTTCTAATGTCAAACAGTTCACTAGCATTAGTGAAACAACTAAAAAAAACATATTTCGAATTATCAATATCTTCTGAAAAAAACTTAAAATCTAGCCTTCGGTCTTATTCAATAGTTTTTATTATTATAGGATAAGTCGAAACTAACTCACCCATCTGCGCAATAAAAACATTTTTTTCATCACAATCCTCTTATAAAAATCCCTTAAGTTAATTAATTATCCTTTTACGAGATCTAAAATTAACGTTAAAATGTATTTGCTATTCATACAGTATAGTAAAGACAATAACAAAATGCGAGAATAAATCGTAAAATTAATTTTCATTGTATCAATATACAAGATGAAAATGTCGGAATAGCTTTAACCAAAACTGCACCGGAGTCATATACTCAAAGCACCTCGTGTCGTAAAAACTTCTAATTGTATACATTTAATTATACTTTAGTTATATGAATTCTGTTTACTTCAGATAGTGTCGATTCCGCCGCCCGTCAACTTGTTCCCATATTCGCTAAGCACCTGAAAATAAAAAAATATTATTAAACAATCAAATCACACATTGTCGCCTGTCTCCTTAACTAGAGTTTCCTGTACTATGAGAACTATTAGATTATTGCCTAATTTTGGCACCGAATCAGACATGCTCATTGGTGATGACTATGATTGTGATTGTTATAGATGTGTGTTGTATGATTGTTATGATGTATTTGATTGTATGTTTGAATGATTGTAACACAATCAAACAAAAATAGCTCTACGGGATTGAATGAACCTTTTATAACATCGACTAGCATATGGGATACTTTATATCATGCTAAATGACATGGTACCAGGACACTTTTCGCGCTTTTCAGGATATTATTAAAATAACCACATAACCAATAACCACCAATACACATATCTGTTCATAAAATATTTATAACTGCTGATACCAAGCACCCCCGCTTTTTTTACAATAAAATCATTTTATCTTACATTGTTTTTAATTCAAATTTATTAAAATTTATTTCCTATTTTTTAGTTGGATTTTCTATAAAAATGTATTTTGTTATTTTTTTTTAAACTACCTATTATTTATTCTTAATTTTTTAGTCGAATATCAATTTTTTCAAAAAAATTTTAAATATTGAATTTTCATCGGTCCTTAACAAGTATACCAAGTTTCGAGTTAATCCGACGTTTTGAAGGGGGATCAAACTCATGGTCAAAGAACGTAACGAAAGTAACGAAAAAAACCTTACACCCCTCACTCCGCCTACCATGTAGCTCGCGTTCAACACATTCACACGTTACGTTTGTATAATGTTTGTGAATAAGCGCGTGGCGTGACGTCACACTGCATGCGCATCATGAAAAGTCTGCCCATCTCTCTCTCGCGCGGTCTAGCTTATGAGTGTGAAGGGGACAGTTAAGGTTTTGCTTCTATTAATCTTTAATATGAATGAATGAATGATTTATTTTATTTCAGACAACAAGTCCATATGTGTACATAGTATCATTGAAACATACTTAATATAGCGTGGTCTTGTTTTATTATTGTTTTATTATTAATTTATCATTGTCTAATTATAATTGCATAAGTTGATAAAAAATGCTATGCAATAGCTTTACCGCGGCAGTTCCCGAGGGCCACACGTTTTTTTTTTTGTTTTTTTTTGAGTAATATTTGTCGTATAACGTTATCTAACCGCTATAATAGAAAAGGTATCAGTAAGTGTTGGTATGATTAGTGTTAAAAAGCACCTTATAGAGCAGGATATAGTGGTGTCTGTTGGAGAGCGAGTGCGGTCGCTGGGCGCGCAGGTGTCGCACGGCGCGCGGCACGTCGGCGCGGCCCGCCGCCAGCGCGCGCGCGCACACGTCCAGCGCGACCAGCACCGCCGAGCGACCCGCTCCCGACGCGCACGTCACCACGCACGGACGGACGCCTGCCGAGGGGCGTCACAATACTTACTACACTACTATACCATTAAAATTCTTTTTTTTTATGATTGAAGTATTACTGATGGACCTGAGACCTTTCCAGTTTCACCAGGACAGGCGGGCGAGCTAAGGCTCAGCCAGGAGGGATGGGATTTGCTAGCAGCTGCCCGAACGTCTCCGAAGGAGACCTAACAACTCAAGAGCAACTGCTACGCGAATGAATCTACTACCGGATCGGAATCGCGACCCGCTGAGAAGATGCGGCGAGAAACTCAGCGGCCTGATGCATGGGTTAGTTTGCACGTCGACCTCTTTGTTAAGTTCGATGCGTTCGGTTGCCGAGGTCACTAAGCCTGGTGGTAGGACCTCTTGTGAGTCCGCCCGGCTACAACGGCTGCCTCACCCTTCAAACCGAAACGCATTACTGCTTCACGGCAGAAATAGGCAGGGCGGTGGTATGACAGCGACATGTCTTAATGCTCGTTTAAGTCGTCGTGGCCTAAAGGATAAGACGTCCGGTGCATTCGTGTTGAAGCGATGCACCGGTGTTCGAATCCCGCAGGCGGGTACCAATTTTTCTAATGAAATACGTACTCAACAAATGTTCACGATGGACTTCCACGGTGAAGGAATAACATCGTGTAATAAAAACCAAACCCGCAAAATTATAATTTGCGTAATTACTGGTGGTAGGACCTCTTGTGAGTCCGCGCGGGTAGGTACCACCACCCCGCCTATTTCCGCCGTGAAGCAGTAATGCGTTTCGGTTCGAAGGGTGGGGTAGCCGTTGTAACTATACTGAGACCTTAGAANCGTGTAATAAAAACCAAACCCGCAAAATTATAATTTGCGTAATTACTGGTGGTAGGACCTCTTGTGAGTCCGCGCGGGTAGGTACCACCACCCCGCCTATTTCCGCCGTGAAGCAGTAATGCGTTTCGGTTCGAAGGGTGGGGTAGCCGTTGTAACTATACTGAGACCTTAGAACTTATATCTCGAGGTGGGTGGCGCATTTACGTTGTTAGATGTCTATGGGCTCCAGTAACCACTTAACACCAGGTGGGCTGTGAGCTCGTCCATCCATCTAAGCAATAAAAAAAAAAAAAAAAAAAAAATGCTCATCTATAGTACCAACCTTCGACTTCGCAAGCCGCTTTCATTCGGCCCAAGGTTCCGTTGGTGTGCCTCCTCATCATCTCCTCGGCCTTGGCCGGTGAGTACACGTTCACTCCGTTTCCGGAGCCGTTGTCATCGCTCCGCAACTTGGTTAGGTTGCTGAACGATGAACGGTTCTGGTCTTCGTAGATTACTTCCACGCCTGGAAGCCAAATTTAATTCAGTTAAATCGCTGTTTGATTCTTGCTATTGAAAAGACCTCAAATTGATCACTGATTCCTTTAAGTTTGTTTCCTAACAAAACATAATAATATGGAACTTAACATTTGAAATCACTTTTGCTAAATAATTATACATTTATTTTACAAACAATTTATTAGCTTGGAAAATAGTTTGAATGTTTGGTATGTGTGATTTGCGATTTAATTGAGTTTTTTTAGGAAGGAAGGATCACTAGTGGCCCGAAGGCCTTCCCAGTTTCACAAAAACAGGTGGGCGAGCAAAGGCTCAGCCAGGAGGGGAGGGATTTGCTAACAGCTACCCGAGCGCCTCCGAAGAAGACCTAACAGCTCAAGAGCAACTGCTTCGCGATGCATCTACTACCGAATCAGAATCTCAACCCGCAGGGAAGATCTTGTGAGAAACTCAGCGGCCTGACGTATGGGTTAGGTTGCACGTCGAACTCTTTGTCGAGTTCGACGAGTACGGTTACCGGGGTCCCTAAGCCTGCTCCTAGTGCTAAAACTGAAAGCGTCTAAAGCTCCAAGAGTTATTGGATCTGATAGATCCCTAAGGACGTGAGAATTTTTAAACTACTTATGTTATTTAATAAGAACATCTGTTTTTTTATGTAGTCTAGCAGATCAGCTCACGAACTACATACTATTATTTATGTAGGTACTGGGTACGCCCCTGACAATTTGGATACAGGATAATTCACAATTTTACTGTGTATCTGTGCGCCCTACCAATCCCTCAAACTGTAACGCGTTATCAATGCTTCGTAACTCTCAGACATAGCCCACTGAGTTTCTCGCCGGATCTTCTCAGTGGGTCGCGTTTCCGATCCGGTGGTAGATTCTGCGAAGCCCGGCTCTTGCTAGGGTTCGTGTTAGCAACGTCATCAGGTTTGAGCCCCGTGAGCTCACCTACAAACGTTAGGGTTACGCTGAAATAGCCTCTCAAGGCCCTCAGCTTAGGTAGGAAAAAAAAAAAAAAATGCTTCAAAAATGATAGTGCTCATACCAGTTTACATTACGCGCTAACATCAGAAAATCGTCTTTCTAATGTACTTACTAAATAAAAGTTGAATGATTTTTACTTCATTACGGCAGAAGCAAGATATATTAAAGAGTTTATTTTTTTTTAAAACATCTTAATTCAATAGATCATATTTCGTTACGCACCAAAAATGTATTTACATATGAATCGATTAATACAAAACAAAGAAAAAACTGAAATATTTCCGCGCATTAACCAAGTCCCTTTGCTACCTTTGACCTACCTTCCTCGTCATATTCCTTCGCCGTTTGCGAGATCTTCATATAATTCCTCATTTCGGACAGGAAGTCTAATATTGAATCGTAGTCGTCTGGAACTCCTTTCGCCGGCCAGAAGTACCACAGGTGGATTATTTCCCGCCACGTTCTGGTCGACATGTTGATCAGTTGAACGCTGGAGATGGCGTATTTGTCTTTTTGCTCGCGTTTCTTCAGGATTATCTTGAAATCCCCGAAGGACCTCTTGTTATCGGACACCTCTGATGGTGGAAGATACTCGTAACACTTTTCCTGAGTGGGAAATTTAAACAAGTTTAATATCACTACATAATATAAAACAAAGTCGCTTTCTCTGTCCCTATATCCCTATGTATGCTTAAATCTTTAAAACTACGCAACGGATTTTGATGCGATTTTTTTTAATAGATAGAGTGATTGAAGAGGAAGGTTTATATGTATAAAAACATCCATTAAATAGTAGAGAAATCAATAATAAATTACAGTTTCCGAAGCGAAGCGAGGGCGGGTGTCGCTAGTTAATTTATATAGACTAATTTCCCAGTTTATATAACGACTTGGACAGATAGATTAAGGTTGTAGGAATTAACGACGGAAGGAAGAATTGCTCGGTAGACCAACGCAACGGCCCGAATGTCATTTCTCCTACCTATGCTGATAGCCTTAAAAGAGGCTATTTCAGCTTCGCCCTAACGTGTAGGTGAGCTCACGGGACTCAAACCGGAGTGTTGCTAACACTGGCCCTACGAGAACGGTGACCGGTGCTTGTGATACCTAAAAGCACCGTTAATGGATCGGGAGGATCCGTAATGACGTGTGGCCCGAATGTCGTTGTTCGGAACTTGTATATATGCAAGCTTATCTTGAAAATGTCGTAAGCGAGATTCAGGCATCTGTCAAATATTTTGCGTTGTATGATGGCCACAAGATCTACCACCACAAGATCTTAAAAGGTGGAAAAAAGGAAGAGATCACTCGGCACTGGTCGGCTCAGTGGTGATGAAGAAGAATAATTCTTGACTATTTTACGAGCTCACGTATTGGTGGTAGGAGAAGGAGGCCGCCCGGGTTGGTGCCACCGTTCCACCTGTTTTAGTTACGAAGTATTCGCTCCCGTTTTAATGATGACACAAAAAATATTTATATTATAATTGCATCTGTGAAACAGACCATTCAAATTGTGATGGTAACACACAACTACCACTTAAAACCAGGTGAACCGTGAGCTCATATAAGGTATGCGTACACGTTGGGTAACTTGCGTAATAAAATAAGCCTTTTTCATGGAAGCCTCATGCAAGCATCAGATTAAATTTGTTTGATGAATAGGTAATAATAATATAATATCTGTATTATTATAAAATTGAATATGGTGTTCATTTTGGTTTGAGAGACCATTTCAGCGTAGCTTTAACTAGTAGGTGAGCTCACGGGGCTCAAATCTGACGATGTTGTTAACACTAACCCTAGCAAGAGCAGTACTTCGCAGAATCTACCACCGGATGGGAAACACGACCCACTGAGAAGATCCGGTGAGAAACTCAGTGGGCTGTGTCTGTGGATTAGTTTACTCGCCGAGCCCTTCGTCGCAAGCGACGGGTTCGGCGAGGACGATGACCGGAGGTGTTCATGTTAACAAGGCTACTAAATAAAAGAGCCTACCACTCCATTCTCCATATATTCAGTGAGCATGACTACAAGTCTTGAGTTCTGTTCCCAAATCATTCTCCAGAAGTCTCCAACGGTGTTGGCGAGGGGAGCCTGGCACGCGATGTAGTAGTTCTTTATATTACCTGGACCCTGAAAAAAACAACAATGGGTTTAAATATTTCGCACCGACGCTTATATTAAGACGTTTCGCCAACGTAGAATTAAGCGGCTACCGGAGTTCATAGACATAGACATAATCAAGGCCAATTTCAACCTTGAAGTACGGGATCAGATTTTTAATTTCATTGTACACAAAGCGCTCCACCGTTCAAATCGGAACGTATTAATGCACCGCGACAGAAGAAACAATAATAATAATTTATTATGTTTTGTAAATAAGTTGTTATATGAAGTTATTAAAATGTTTAGCCTTTTTAAGTGCGAAAAAAAGGTTCTAATATCCTATATATTAATACGTGAAGCAAAGACTTTGTATACCTTTTACGAAAATTACGCTGACGGAGGAGTATGAAATTTCTCACACTTATAAAGAATATACTCGTAGAGAAAGAGTGCAGAATGCTAATCTTTTTTTTAAAGTATGCTTAAAAAATACTTTAAATAAATCAAAAATAATTACACACTACCATGTATTTGACACAAGTCATACATATATATTTATATTCTTTGTTTACTGTCAATTGTCACATTTTTGTTATTATTTAAGGTCTGTGGTCAAATTAAAAATAGATTAATATTGATTGTATTTAATATTATTTGTCTAAAGTGTATTTTTAATGAAATCTGTAATAAGAAGCACTAGTATAATAGTTTTTGACAATAAAACCATAATAATGTTCAAATTTATAATTTTAATTTTTTTTTAATGCTTTGTTGGATGGACGAGCTCACATCCCACCTAGTGTGAAGTGGTTACTGGGGCCCATAGACATCTACGACGTAAATGCGCCACCCACCTTGAAATATAGGTTCTAAGGTCTCAAGTATAGTTACAACGGCTGCCCCACCTTTCAAACCGAAACGCATTACTGCTTCACGGCAGAAATAGGCAGGGCGGTGGTTGCGCGGACTCACAAGAGTCCACCAGTAAAATTATAGTCGAATTTCGACTACTGAGGGACTACTAGTTATTATTAAGTCAATAATTAAGCAAGAATGCGGTACCCTCGTGGGAATACGACCTAACGCCATCAAAGATTCCTGTGCTTATTTCTTTTTTGTTTGCGAATAAAAATCATATTATAATTTTGCTGAAATCGTAATCTAGATTAGCTCGGTGACATTCTTAGATTTTTGTAACACGATATTCATGGGAGTAGTTTATGACAGGATGTTGATAACGTCTCGCCACCCGGGGCACAGCGTAGCGTACTGCTGAATCAGAACATTTCGTGTTTCTATGTTAAAGAGATTGTAGTTTAATATCGTTTGAATTATTTAAAAGAGGCATTGTTGGATACTGTATAATAAAATAACACGAAACAGCCCTCATTTAAAATTTGAATCAACAGTTGTAGCCCGCAAAATTATAATTTGCGTAATTACTGGTGGTAGGACCTCTGAGTGTGAGTCCGCGCGGTTAGGTACCACCACCCTGCCTATTTCTGCCGTGAGACAGTAATGCATTTCGGTTTACAGGGCGGGGCAGTCGTTGTAACTATTCTTGAGACCTTAGAACTTATATCTCAAAGTGGGTGGCGTATTTACGTTGTAGATGTCTATGGGCTCCAGTAACCACTTAACACCAGGTGGGCTGTGAGCTCGTTCTCTCATCTAAGCAATAAAAATAAAAAGTTTGAGTTTTCAGACCTTTCGTTTGAGCAAAACGCAATTTCCGATCCAGCAAAATATGATCCATAGAAAGAGAAGACTTACCGTAATATAATTAGCGTTGATGTATTCTGTGGTGGGGTCGTTTCCAATCCTGCACAGCGGGACTCTGGTCTCCGGCAGCGGCAGCACGTTGGAGTACCTGTTCTTGTCCTCGCAACCTGGAGGCACCTCCTCAGGTCTCACGGATACCGATGGTATCTCGACGAATTCGGCCGTTATAGATTCTATGTCCATTGCGAAAGAAGCTAACGCCGAGTACTGCATTGGATGAGAAGTGACCTAGGAATGGAAGATAGATTTAATTACTATAAGACAAAGCAGGTTAAAATACATCTTGGTTACGCTGCAAATCTCCAAGCTTCAATGTCATACTGATGGTAGGACCTCTTATGAGTCCACGGGTGGGTACCACTACCATGCCTATTTCTGCCGTGAAGCAGTAATGCGTTTCGGTTTGAAGGGAGGGGCAGCCGTTGTAACTATACTGAGACCTTAGAACTTATATCTCAAGGTGGGTGGCGCATTTACGTTGTAGATGTCTAAGGACTTCAGTAACCATTGAACACCAAGGGGGCTGTGAGCTCGTCCACCAAACTATGCAATAAAAAAATAAAAAACAAAAGGAATAAACAAAAACAACAAACGATCTAGATTGAACCATTTACTTATTACCTATGTGTTATTGTGTACCGAAATCACCAATCCGGTATAAAGCAAGATATAACAAGATCTTGAAAACGAAATATTTATACATAATTATGTATATAATTACTTCTCCTGTCACTGCAGTGTTTAAGCCGTGACCGGTTACAAATTTAAAAGTTTGGCAATTAATGCCTTTCATGTTGAAAGCATTCAGTACGAAAAGTATTTTTGGAATTTTTAATGACTAATTGGATAAAAATAAGTTCATTCCTTAACAGGGATTGGTTGTTCTCGATAATTAGACATTTTCAAAGTGAAAAAAACGAAATTTCGCATTCTTCTAGCAAGTAATGAATATAATAATATGTTTATCGGTATTTTTCAATATTTTATTCTTTATGTCTACTGCACACTACCGTCGTGTCTATTTCTTGCCTCCAAACAGTTTGTTAGACGGGTGGGTCAGCCGTTACACATTGTAATAGAGGCTAAAATCCCGTCTCAAAATGTACAAAAACATTTATGTTGTACTGAGCTCCATTTTGCACTAGCTGAGTCGTGGTTCACCTATCTATACTAATATTATAAAGCTGAAGAGTTTGTTTGTTTGAACGCGCTAATCTCAGGAATTACTGGTCCGACATGAAAAATTCTTTCAGTGTCAGATAGCCCATTTATTGAGGTAGGCTATAGGTTATATAACATCACGGCAAGACCAATACAAGTGGAGCACCAATAAAGAATGTTTCAAAATATTTTCACTTTCTACGTAAATGAAGTGGGGAGTAAAATTTAGCGTTACGCCAAAATAACTATTCCATACGGACGGAGTCGCGGGCAAAATCTAGTCAAAGCAATAAAATACCGAAATAATATTAAAGCCTACCTCATCATCATAAGCAGGGTTACCGTAACTGCGCTTACTGGCCCTCAGTCGCTGGTTTCCCTTCCTGTGCCCGACACTGACACTGTCCAAACTGTATGCGTCCAACGAGACAGGAGTACATCTCTGAGCGTATATACCTCTCCTGCCCCGACGGCGAACCACAAGCTGCAATGGAAAGAACATTTTCATTAACATTATTTTATTGGTTAGAGGGTAGGACTCTCGGCCCGTCAGATGTTAAGTGGTTATCAGAGCCCATAGACATCAACATTGAAAATGCTGCCATCCACCTTGAGACATGAGTTCTAAGTCTCAGTAATCAGGTACAACGGCTGTCCTACCTTTCAAGCGGGAACACATTAATGCTTCGCAGTACAAATATGGCAGTTAACGTACGGGCTCACAAGATGTCATATCATCAGTAAAAATACAATTCCGAAGGTACCGGTATTCCGGTATTCCGTAGGTTCCGAAAATACGATTCTCAAGGTAGGTGGCGCATTTACATTGTAGATGTCTATGGGCTCCAGTAACCACTTAACACCAGGTGAGCTGTGAGCTCGTCCACCCACCTAAGCAATAAAAAAAACCAATACTCGGCTTAAATTTATTTAATTACGCATTCTCCAAAAATAAAATACTTCTTAATCGGCATGTTCCGGTTTTTTTTTCGTACCAAAACACTTGTACCTTTCCCTTTTTTTTAAAGAGTAACTTATTGACTACATTTTCAGAATTCCCATGAATATCAATCAGCAACAGCTCAATACTAAAACGGCCAAAGTAATAACGACCCATGACGAAATATTCGATAACATTTTAAGCGCTACTTAGCGACGTATTCGAAGAGATTTTTTGCTAAAAACCTCAACTATTTATGCCCTTTATCGATGGAGTGTAGTTCTCTAAAAAGTGTTATGAAATTGGTCTTTTACTTGAAATAAGGCTATCAGTACACAATCGATTCATTGATATACAATGAAAACCATATTCTATGATATTTCTGATGATATTTCTCGTCACGTTTTATTGTTTATGTCTGCTCTGTCTATTAGACTGAAAGTGTTAGCAAATCTCACTTATTCTCAAATTGGAAAGACCTCGGGGCCACGCGTAATCCTCCCTTCCAAAAAAAAATGAAAATTCACCAATAAAACGATCATTAAAAACGTCCTTAATATTTTAATATACATATAATCTTGTCGCTTATATTCATACGCGATTTCAACTTTCCAAAGTTTTAATTCAAAACACTTACTATATTTATAATATATTTATTTACTAACAATCACGTCACGTTCTCGACACCGTAAAAGTTAACTCAAATTTTATGGAGATCAAACGTTTGCCTACATTTGTCGCTAGGGGCGCTGTTCCAACTCCATACAAATTTGAGTTAACTTTAACGCTATCGAGAACGTTAAAGCAACGTTCACCAAGTACGTTTAATAAGACCAAATTCATCAAAAACTGTAAAATTAAATTTTAAATATTATAGATTAAATGTATGACGTATAGTTCTTAAAACTTTTCCATAGTGTATCCTGTTTTTTGTGGAACTCATTATATGTATAATATTCGGCTTATTTGAAACAATTATTTCAACAGAACGATAAATTTGGAACAAAGAAAGACTTGTGAACGCGGACATAGTTGCTTCCGAGCATACGTTTGTTTTGAAACAGCACGCGAGATAATATTTGTCACCATAAACGAACGTTCATCTATACTAATATTATAAAGAGGAAAGATTTGTTTGTTTGTTTGTATTGAATAGGCTCCGAAACTATTGAACCGATTGGAAAGATTCTTTCACAGTTTGGAAGCTACACTATTCCCGAGTGACATAGACTATAATATTTTTTGAAAAAAATTGGGATCTTTACTAAAACTCCAATAATGTAATCCAAGGTGTAAAAAAATTACCTAAAATATTCTTTACATCGCGTGCCCTACGAAAACTATTGATGATAGAATAAAACAATGTACTACGACTTTGTAGAACACATTATTATTTACAAAAAGTGTCGAGACAGCTTATGTCTAACTATTATAGTTATGCCGCAATAAGTGTTCTTTTATTTTAAAAAATAAACGTCAAATATCGTTGGTTTTTGTTAAAGACCCGAGCGGAGCCGGAGCGGGCCGCTAGTAATACAAATAAGCATGAAACTACAATTGGTCGTTGTTTACTAGCGATATGACGTCTTGTGAGTCCGCACGGGTAAGTACGACAAACCCTCCTGTCCTTTACTCATCATGCATCCAGTTTTAAGGGTGGGCTAGCTTTTTTTTCCTACCTATGCTGATAGCCTTGAGAGGCTATATCAGCTTCTCCTTGACGTGTAGGTGAGTTCACGGGGCTCAAACCGGCTGTGTTGCTAACATTGACCCTAGCAAGAGCAGTGCTTCGCAGAATCTACCACCGGATCGGAAACGCGACCAACAGAGAAGATCAAGTGGGCTAGCCCTTAAACTGTTTGACACTCAGACCTCAATTCTCAAAAAAAAACTAAAAACATAATAATATGCGTTTCTAATTTGAGTCTTCTATTGTAGAAACGTTAAAGCAATTTAGTGATCTACTTATTTGAAAATTAGTCGTAAAAGCTTCCAGCCACAATCGTCTGAGCTTCAAAAGTCACCGAGTATACGTCGAGCCTAAACTAAAGCGTGAAAAGTGGCGATTTCAAGGACCACGTCTCAGCCCGCTTGTGAATTTAATTTATGAGGTACCCTATGACTTGTTTGTTTTCAATGCAACACGACATAAAGACGTTAACGTTGACGTCATATTCCAACACAGGCAAGAGCTGACTTTTAAATAAGGCTGCAGTAATCGCTTTAAGCCAAGTGAACTGTAAACTAAAAAAACTCAGCTACTGCTCACTTTAAGTTATGTTTTGGGGTTGCTAAGCTATTGCCAAGCTGTATAGACTATATTGCATGTCGGCAGTCTAGGATGGATAACGTCGATGGTAAAGTTATAATGATTTTAAAACTTTTTATTTTATTTTATTGCTTAGACGGGTGGTCGAGCTCACAGCTCACCTGGTGTTAACTGGTTACTGGAGCCCATAGACATCTCCAACGTCAATGCGCCACCCACCCACCTTGAGATATAAGTTCTAAGATCTTAGTATAGTGACAACGGCTGCCGCACCTTCAAACGCATTACTGCTTCACGGCAGGAATAGGCAGGGTGGTGGTACCTACCCGCGCGGACTCACAAGAGGTCCTACCACCACTCCTGTTGAGGGGTTGATGTAATAATAAATAAATAAATGATTTATAAATACATCGGAATTTCGTTACGTTTTTTTTAACGGACGATAAAACAATGGAAACCCACATAAAAATTCAGTCATCAGCATAACTTTGTTTATAATTCGCATTGTAAAAACATCCTCTGCGACCGATACATACGACTTACTAGGAACATAGGTGAACTCGGTATGGGAGATAGAAATTGTCGGGACAATTTTAGTAGAAAAATAATGAACAAAATTGTTTGTTAATTGTTTCCTTAAATTGGCAAACGCTTATTACTTGATGTCAACTTGTCAACGGAACCCAAAAAACTTAAATTGGCGCTCAACATGAGGCCATCAATCCTTTGTACTGTAACAACAATACTTCGTGGCTAAAATAAGCAGGATAGTGGTACTATGTATATTCAATTTAACATATTGAAAATTCATATAAAATCTGTAAACGTGGTGTGTGGTCATGTTTTTCCACGTTTTGTTTTATCATGTCACTATTACAATTTTTGAGATTTTGAGCACCTAACAGATGTCGTGTCAACTATGAGTAATTATAATTTCTTCGGCAAAAACTTTGTTAGTTCTCGCGTTGATAGCACGACTCGTTTCTCTGTATATAAAATATAGTTTTAAACAAAAATTGAAATGATTATATCGACGGGTGAAAAGCTATTTTAAAGAAACTTTACAGGAGAGCCATTTAAAGTTTAAGTAATTTGGTAAAAAATATCAGGACAAAAAATCTTCTATAGCTATTTAAATGTAGTAAGCATAATTGAAGTTAAAAACATTGAATTGTTGATACAAATACCAAATAGAACGGATCTTTAATTACAAAGATAAATGTCGCGTATTAACCGAAATGACGCTTAAACTAAATAGCCTTTCATCCCTCAATATATATTATTTAATAGTAACTAGCGACCCGCCCTCGCTTCGCTTCGGAAACATTAAATTTTATTATTGATAGCTGAGTCCCGCGATGTTATCCGCGTTTATTGTCGTACCGCGAGTGACGCCACGGGCGAAGCTAGTCCTATCATCAGCTACCTATCAGTGAAATTCTCGTCAAAATCGGTTGAGCCGTTCCAGAGATTAGCCGGAACAAACAGATAGACAGACAAAAACTGTAAAAAATGTTAGGTGTAAGTACCGTATACTATACTTATATACTTATATATTCTGAAGCATGTAATAAAAAGTGGTTATTTCAGTATTACAAACAGACACTCCAATTTTATTTACATGTATAGATACACGGTCTTTAATACAGAGAACAACTCAGCACTATCTTCTGTCCGTACCGCATGAGTGCGGGTCCTAGCCCTGCGCTGAGGCGAATTAGCTCGTGCACTCCCTGTATTGTAGAAGCTCTGACCTGACATTATTGTGACGTCTTCCAATAGAGTCGCACGTGTTCTAAAACTTTAGTGCTATTGTTGTCCGTCGTACAAATTCTATAATTAAACTTTAATTATTATAATTTTTTAAATAGTAACTCAAAAGTTTATTTAATTTTAATCTTTAATAATTCTAATTGTTTTAAGATTATATACTTAGAGCTGGTCAGAGTCTCCGATTTCGAGGTAAGATTTGTTTCATAAGTTTAGTTTTTAATCTTTTTTTTTTTTAAATTAAGTTATTACCGAATCCCATATACATCCAAAATTGAATACTGACATCCACCTAGAACGGTTGCCCCACCTCCTACCACCAGTAAATGCTGGTTGGCAGTCAACGAAACCCACGGGAAGAGAGTGTGCTGCTATTTCTTGGCTGACACTACACAACCTCACTTCTAGTGAATTTTTTCTTGTTAATTTTTAATTAGTGACCTTGTTTCTAATTTAATGTACAATTACAGGAGGAACAATGTAGGAGGAAAATAATTTCTTCTTC